AATTTTAAATCCTGAATTTTTACCTTGAGTATTTTTATGTAGTCAAAATTAGTCAGAAACATTGTTTTTAATGCTGGTATATCACTACATCATAAATTATTTAACACTGTAATTATTTAACTCGATACATACTGTAAGAATATTAAAATATTTCCAATTTTTCATTATTAAAAGGAACACTGTCAGGAACTTCTATGCACCTAAATCTCTATTTTTGGTGGTTATCTTAAGAAACAAATATAACTTAAGGATGAAGAATATAAATATCTTAACCATCTTGTGGCAACTTGCCAACTGGCTTTCAGAAAGGTTGAGTCCATTTAACTCCTTGTCTTAAGAATGAGCATCTCATCACCACCTTGTCAATAATTACAATTTTAAAACCTTTTAATATTTTGCTAATAAGACAGACACCACTTACCCCATTTCACTAATTCTAAGATGCATATTTTTCATAGTTTAGCATATCTGAAATTAGGGATGGATATATATTACAATCAAAGTTGTGTTTGGGCTTATTTGGCAGCATTTTTTTCTTAAGGGCACCCAAAAGTAGTGATGCCTCTTACAATTGATGATATCTTAGAGTCAATGAAATTACAGTAGAATCTCATGTAATTTTTATTTTGTATTTCTGCCACTAGCTAAGAGCCATGGTTTATATAGAATTTCAGTATACATTTCAATACGCCAGTGAATTTTTTAAAACAAATTTAATTGTGGTAAAAAAATGTAAGATAAGACATATAATGCAGTGATACGCCAGCATTAAAAAGTATGTTTCTGACTATAAAACAATAATTCTAACTGTTTTTTAGTGTGCAATTAAGTAGTGTTAACTATATTCACATTATTGTGCAACAGATCTTTAGAACTTTTTCATCTTGAAAATGGAAACTCTGTTCCCATTAAGCAACAACTCTTCTTTTCTCCTTTCCCCTAGGCCCTGACAACCGCCCCCTACTTTCTGCCTGCATGAATTTGATTACTTTAGATAGTGCAGATAGGTGAAATCATACTGTATTTGTCTTTTTGTGACTAGTTTTTTTCACTTAGCATAATGTCTTTCAGGTTTATCCATGTTGCAGCATGGGTCAGAATTTCCTTCTCTTTTATGGTGAATCTCTAAATCATAAAAATTTATAACAACTGGCAGAAATTGCTGACCCATTGGATTCTGACAGCACACCTAAACAACTAAAAAGCAAAAGACAGGTTGGGTCCGAAGGGGTTCCCAATTTCCAAAAACAAATGTTGGTTTATTTTTGAAATACAAAGATCAAACAGAAATCAAGAATGTAGGTGACAAAATCAATACACTTCTGAACTAATATCTGCTCTTCTGGGGTTAATTCCCATGGCTTTTAAGGGTGTAAGACTGGTTACCACAATTTGAGAGTTTACAAACACAGATGTCGTGAGACCATGCCCCTTCATCAGGAAACTAGGCAGTTCCAAGTTTCTGGAACATGGGTTTGAATTCCTTCCTCAAACAAAACAATTCCGGGCTAACAACAAAGGCCATGTGAAGAGGCCATGACTGCAGGTGGAGCAATGCAGGGCGACGGGCCGGAGTAAAATGTAAACTATCCTAAAACTAAACGAACTTGCTGTGTCATTTGTCATTTACAATGTGCCATTATAAAACCAATGAAAATTACATATCCTGAAAACCGAACTAAATTGTATTTTAGTTTTATTTAATACTGCTAACAAAATCTTTTATTTTAAATCCTAAAATCCCTGAAAAGAAAATTTAATATTTATACAAGAAGACTTAATTAAAATGTGACTTAAATGGTTATGTTTATGGTTGATCACAGAACAAAAGGATTTAAAGTATCAAAACCACACAGTGGTGACCGCTTTATTTATTTTCCTTGAAAGTGAAAAGAGGAAGGCAGTATTAGAAATTAACGCTTAAACCTAAAAAGAAAAGAACATTATAAAGAAAACCATATCCTCACATTGGTTAAAATGTTGTATTTGTTCCACTTCTTACATGATTCTCTGACATTTCTACTGTGTCTACTGTTATAAATATACAGAAATGAAAAAAAATCATATCCCAATTTTTGTCCTACCTGATATACACGTTAAGTACACAGAATTGGCAAAATGTATTTCAAATTGACTATTATTTAATTAAGGTACAATTTTAAAAGCTACAAATTATTTAAGTCACGATTCATGTCTTTTTCCCCTCTGACATAATTTTGAACATGCATTTTATCTGTAATTTTTTCAGAAATAAAATACATGTTTATTGCTGACAGATGTCAGACTAAGCAAAAATTTAAAAATAGGACCATGGTGTCCTGTTTTTACATTTCCCAAAATATGTAGAAACTCTAAAACATCACTTCTAGGGATATACAATGGAATATTATAACTAACTATTTCTGGGCACCAATTTCTTACAATTCTAAAATTATACTGATATGAATAGCTACATACTGTATACTTTGCTCATATTCTTGGCTTCTTTTTTTTTTTTTTGTAGCAAAGAAATTCCAAGGTTTGGTATTACTGGGAAAAAAAGGTATGTTTGAAATGAGACAAACGAACTCAGAAAGGTGGGCAGGTAAACCCTCAGTAGCAGTCCTTGAGATTGTACTGCCACTGGGTCCTTGCCCAAACTGAGTATCATCCTTCTTGGTTCTCTTTTCTTTGGTTAGCATGGATTTTTAAAAGCGATTTAAGTTTCCTTATGGACACTGTGCTACAGTCAGAGACTCCCCCTTCTCAGCCCTCGTTCCTTGGTGCCTCCTTCCCAGCCACCTGACCTGAGGGTTCTTCCTGACTTCTTTGGGGGTCTCCCTTTATTCTTTACAGACCTTCTCCTAATATATCTCTTGTATGCCTAATTCCACCATGCCCTCTGCTCTCACAGGATCCAAACTAACAGAGGGACTTTGAAAATCTTTTCAGCATTTGCTACATGATTATATCATTTAGATTTCTTCTCCTTTCATCAGTTTTGCTATTTATACTTCCCTAGACAATTTTCTCTGTTCAATATTTTCTATTTTATGATCACAGTTGCTCATGACATCACCTAATAGTTTTTAATTTGCTAGTGCCTGTGGTCACTGTATATTGTGTATATGACCACATATATATGTCACATATATGTATGTATACATAATATATGTCATATGTTTGTATATCTACATATACACATATATACATACTGGCCATACATTTGTATTTTCTTTTCTTCTTTTCTTGATTAGCCTCACTAGAGCTTTGTATGTTATTAGCATTTTCAAAGACATAGTCTTTGTATTTATTGCTGTTACCACTTCAACATTTTTATCTGGGCACTAAATAGGGGGCATCAAGTCATGCAGCTCACCAGAACACACCTTTGGTCAATGCTGGAACAAGTCCCAAAAGGGCTTTGTTTCTTTTCTTTTTAAAATTACAGTGTCCTTCAATGAAAACTGAGTGGGTCAACAACAACAAAAAAAGCCCCACGAGGACTGGTCCCATCTCTGGTCATAATGAGCTTTGCAAAGAATTGGCTTCAGAGGGTTTGACAGCCGCTTCCAAGTACTTGAGGGGTTGTCATGTGAAAGGGAAGGAAGACACATTCTGGGCTACTGCAGGAGACAGAGCCCAGCCTGGCAGCGGGATCTGTAGGGAGGCCAATTGCAGTTCAGTGAAAGAGAATGGGCTCCTGTAGGAGGCAGAGGTTCTGTTTTCAGGAGGGGCTCAGGCAGAGGACGAGTTAGCCTTCTTCAGAGGCTGTGCACTCAATGATGCAAAGCACGCAGAAAAATCTTTAGCAGCAGACAGACTCGAAGATGGTCCCAGTGACCCTGTCTCCTGGTCCTCTTCCCTCATGTAATCCCATCCCCTTGAGTGTTGGTGGCCCCATAACTTGCTTCTAACCAATATGACTGGGAAAATGCGATGGGATGCCACTTCTGTGATCATTTGCATAAGATTCTGAGCAGCCTCTCTCTCCCTGCTAACTTAGATGAAGCCAACTGCCATATGGAGAAGCCCACATGGCATGGAGCTAGGGCCTGCCCCCAGCTAACAGCTGGCATGAACTGTGGCCCAGGATCTGATGCCCCACAGGGAACAGAATCCTGCTGGCAACGATGCAAGCTTAGAAGCAACTCCTTCCATAGTTGACCCTCAGACGGGACCTCAGCCCTGGCTGACACCTTGACTGCAGCCTTGTGAGATTCTGTTAAGATGTGCCCAGATTCTTGGCCCTCAGAAACTGTGAGACAACAAATAGGTGGCTTTTTTTTTTTTTTAAATAGAGTCTTGCTCTGTTGCCAGGCTGGAGTGCAGTGGCGTGATCTCAGCTCACTGTAACCTCTGCCTCCCGTGTTTAAGTGAGTCCCCTGCCTCAGCCTCCTGAGTAGCTGGGACTACCGGCGCGTACCACCAAGCCCAGCTAATTTTTTGTGTTTTGGTAGAGACAGGGTTTCACCATGTTGGCCAGAATGATCTCTATCTCCTGACCTTGTGATCTGCAATCCCTCGGCCTCCCAAAGCGCTGGGATTACAGGCATGAGCCACTGTGTCCAGCCCAAATAGGTATTTTAAGCTACAAAGTTTGGATAACATTGTTATGTGACTATAGATAACTAATCCACCTTTCCAACTCTATAATTCAGTAATCACCGTCACCAAAGAAAAAGCCAGCTGTATCAATGTAAACCCACTGTTGTGACCGTCCATACTAATCAAGTGGTATGCACCTGTGACATGAGACAGGAATAGCAGATTGTGACAGCTCCTAGCCTGTTTCCACATCTAGAGCCTTCTGCATCTTGTGCAGAGATGTGTAAATGGATATAACCCTGATGTCCTCACATCTCCCTGGGCAGTCTTCTGTATCATACTGGCGACTCCATTCCATTAAATCATTTATTTTTCTTTCCTTTCTTCCCTCAAAAACTCTCTAAAGAAAACACAGTCTCACGTATTCTATGGTCTTTAAGAAAACCAGGTGCTATCTCTTAAAAAATACTCACCATACCCAGGAAGATCATCTCCTTTTCTCTCAGTTTTTCGGTGTTCTTACATTGATGGAAACCTCGCCAAGCCTAAAAACAAATAAATGGTTTCTTGCTGAATACATAAAAATATAAAGAAAACATGGTCTGCTGTTTCTCCTGTATAAGCTGCACATCTCAAAATGCCAACTAATCATAAGCTCTAGGTTGTACATGTGTGTTGATGGAATATTTTTTCTTCTTGATCACAGGCAAACAAATTGTTAAGAAGAATGAACCGCAGAACTGACCTGCAATTGTTATTAGTAAGATTCCTTTACCTTGGTTTCTTCAAGAGAAACTTCTAGGTAGCAGGAGTGTGAGGCTAGATCTAAGGATGGCACTTCATGGTTTTAAAAGAAAAATGTCAAAAGTAATGTGGGGAAATATAGTAACCTCCAAGAATTGTACAACTCAAGCTTTTAATGCAGATGCTAAAACTTTATATTCCCACAGAAATCTGAAAGAAAACAGTGTCTTATCCATCCTTCCCCACCACCTTCTCCTATTCCTATTCAGCGAAAATTAGGGACAAAGAGTCCTGATCTCTGGCCCAATTTTATGTCTGTAGACTTATTTTCTCTGAAACCTAATGCTAGTTTGTATCACATTGCCAACTGCTGCGTTTCCCTGTGAGTAACCGTAGCCTCTATTTGGAAAAAAATGGGGCATAAATCCATGATGCTTATCTGATAAGAAAAGGAAACCTTAAAACCTTAAGGATTCCTTCTAGAAGGGACACTGATGTACTGGTTATTAGTGATGGCTGTTGCATGTTTCTGGAAGCTATTAAGGCCTTTTGTAATTATATATATTTGTGTGTGAATGTATTAAAAAAATTCATTACGGATTTATATCCTCACTGCATTTTATCAACATTCAACAATTATCAATGGTCTTTAACAATATTTGAATAAAATGCCCTGAGTTTAACACCTATTTAGAGTAAAAATTTGAAAATATGACCGAGCTTAATTAATGGTTTCCCCAGGGTAAGTTAATAAATCTTTGTGGAATGTAATCCAGTTCTATTAAGGATAGGATTTGGGGTTTGAGTTTTGGAGCTCACCCCCTAAGTTGGGATGCATCTTTAGTATATAAGACACCTTGTACCCCAACTCCAGGAGCCCTGTGTTTGCACCTTCTGAATACGGAGTGCAGCAGCCCAGGGATCCATCACTTTCTTGCTAAGTATCTTGGATTGCTTTGCTTTATATTCTTGCAGAAAGATTTGCTTCATGAATAATGCCCTTAGGCGACCTTGCCGTGCCCTCTCAGCAATCTGGATTAATTTTACAGCCTCATCCAAAGGGATACTCTTTACAGAGTATTTCTGCAAAAAACAGTTAAGATATATCAATGTTTAAACATGTTAACCACATCATTTGATTCCAGACACATCACACATGCTTACTTCAAACATAATCCTGCTAAGAGTCCCCATGGTTGATAACAAGTGTGAGAACTGCTGAACACTGTTCATTTTTCCAATGAATGATGTATATTTTGATAACCTGCCATGCTCATGCTGCGATCCCAAATTTAAGGACCCCATGACTTTCCTTTACCCTTCTGTACAAAATACTAATTAGCTCCTTGATATTTTAGGTTGGCAGCAAATATACAAAAATGTCAATAAAATTGATTCAGTAAAACCTGAAATTGCTAACAATATTTCATTAACTTAAGAGTAGAAACATAGAAATGGAAAACATACCACTAATATGAGCTTTTAAAATTTAAAACATATGTGAAGTAAAATGCTGATCTTAAAATAAATTATAGAATTACCCAGTGAATACAACTAATGTCGAAATCATTTTTGGGGCATTAAATTTTATATATGAAAAGTCCTCCAGTGTCTAAAACTTGCATCTTAAAACATTCAAACACGATGAGTACTATTAAAACAGAAAAATCAGGGCTGGAAAGTAAAACGTTGTTTGGAAGATCTAATGTGGCATATATGGAAACAAAGTCAGGTGAGGGGCTATGCCATTTTTTGGGAAAAGAAGGACAAGAACAAGGGCTCCGGGGGCATGCTGGCGCCTGTGTGAGCTCCAGGTGCGAGTGGGGCCTGTGTGAGCTCCAGGTGC